ACTCATGGCAGACTGATAACACTGTTATATTGCAAAGCAGTGGCTTAGTCTTGACAGTCTGAAATAGGAAGTGCTGTGACCGGCAGGAAGTCCAGGTAGGAAATTAATTTAGGAAAAATATTTTCTTGACCCTGAACTCCAGGATAAGGAAAAATTGTCTACATTCAAGAGTCATGTGTATTATTCCTTGAATCTTGGTGAGCTTTATGTATTTCTTCCAGATCCGTGCAGTAATCCAGTGTAAAACTTTGCTTTTGTGTTGGACTTCCTGTAATAAGTACCGGTCAGTCACTGCTGCTCTCTCTCCTTGTGCAGGGTGACTGCTCTTGTCTCTGCCCCCTTCTGTAATAAAGACTGGTCACTGCTGCTCTCTTTCCTTGTGCAAGGTGACTGGTCTTGTCTATGCCCCCTTCTGTAATAAAGACCGGTCACTGCTGCTCTCTCTCTCCTTGTGCAGGGTGACTGGTCTTGTCTATGCCCTCTTCTGTAATAAAGACCGGTCACTGCTGCTCTCTCTCTCCTTGTGCAGGGTGACTGGTCTTGCCTCTGCCCCCACCTGTAGTGGGTGTGGCCTAGTGGGCCTGCACAGACTATGCAACAGCATGGCAATCTGGGTTGGCAAAGGCTTTTGGTGCACACAAATAGAATTTATATTCTTCTATTGTTTTATTGTGGCTAATAAAGAATGTATTTAAATTAAAGTTTTCGTTCCTGGAGTTTAGCTTTGCCATAACTTTACATAGTGAAGCATTGTGGGAAATGGGCTTAAAAATAAATATTTTTTTATATATAAACATTCATCTCGCACTCCTAAAACCCTTCGCAGAAATCTGTGGTGTGTCATTTCTGCTACAACAAATGGAATAAAATAATTAAATCATGGAGCGCTAACGAAAACTAGTTTTTTAGGTACACAGCGCCACCTGCTGGCAATTTATGATACGGCAGCCCTTCAGAATACAGCTATAGCAGTAAATTCAAGTATTTGGAAATATTTACTAAAGTGATCTCCACATCAAAGTGGATCTAAGCTGTATGCTTTTATAGTTTTGAGTGTAATGGAGCATGTTTTCACCCCTATCCTAGTTCCTCTCTTTAATTCATTCTCTCTCCCTTTCGGAGATCCACTTGGAGGCCAGTGATAAGGTTTGGGGAGAACTTCCCGCAAAGATTGCAAACAACACTAAAAACCCGGCCCCACTTCACCCAAAAGAAAAAAAAATAATTACAGAATTGATTCACTGCAAATGTTTGTGTGTTTTGTTAGTTAAGACATTTTAACGTATGTACAATAATGAGAAGTTTTACTTATGTACTATACTAATACAAGTGATTGCATATTTAGTGATAGAGAGAATACTGCATTACAGATTGTTGTCATGGTCAACAGTTCCAGGTACGAAAGGAATACTTCAGCCAAAATATTTTTCTCTCAATCAGCAATGAAAATAATCATGATGTGTGTTTTCCAGGTTTGACAGTGAACGCTGCCTATATCAAGGTGTGGAATCAGATGCCAATGGTTTACGTAAAGTTCTGGATGACTTGACTTTGGACAAATCCAGCATTGAAAGCCAGATTGAGAGCCTAAGAGAAGAACTTGCCTACTGCAAGAAAAAACATGTATTGGTGAGAAATACTTTAGCTGATACTTAGACAGATTTGTGTAGTGTATGCCAACTAGTAGCATAAGACTAGACTTCATACTGCCATAGGTACATAGATGACATATTTCTCTGGTGCTGACCCACCAAAGCCTTATGTTACTATATAATGTTCAGGAGCTTAATTATTTTATTACTACTGCTTGTAGAGTTCACATGGAAGATAATTTATTGGAGACCTGTTTCCAGGGGCATTGGTTATTAATTATTTAACTTATAATTGATGTCCAGGAGATGAAGGACTTGCAAGGTGTCTCTGGTGATGTGACAGTTCAGATGGATGCTGCTCCAGGTGTCAATATCCTGAAAATCTTGAATGACACTAGGGCTCAGTATGAACATTTGGCAGAAGAAAATCGTAGAAAGGCGGAGGAAGAATACTCCCAAAAGGTGACTTAACTGATAATATGTTTTCCTCAAACACTGATATTAAAGGCACATTTCTTCCTGGTGGGGGGGGGCTAGATTCACAAAGGCATTTGAGGCACACAAAGTGCATTGATATCCTTTGTCGGTGAGGAGTTTAGTCCTTCTGCCTTGTAGCACTGGGGGTCTCTGGTTGGAATCCCAGCCAGGTCACTATGTGTAAGGAGTTTGCATGTTCTCCCTGTGCTTGTGTAGGTTTCCTCCAGGTACTCCGGTTTCCTCCCACACTCCAAAGACATACTGGTAGGTCAATTGGCTCCTCTTTACATTGGCACTGGTATGTATGCATGCGAGATAGGGACCTTAGATTTAAGCTCCTTAAGGGCAGGAACTTATGTGAATGTGCATGTAAAGCACTATAAATACCTGTAATAAAAGAACAATACAATTAGCCATAACAATGAGATGTTATCTTAAAGTGTTTTAGTGCAACCAGAACAATAAATTAGTTACATGGGGGTTGATTTACTAACCTTATAAACACACCACGAACGTGTATACACCTCTGCAGTGTGTTCCCTCCCAGCATGATCTATGGGTGGAATCTAAACACCTTTGTAATGTGTACACACCCAGCAGGTGTGTTGTGCAAAGCCAAGCATGAATTGCAAGGTGATGTTGTGTAAATTAGCTCTATGTTGTGTTGTTTGCGTTGATGAATGCAAGGAATGTAAATGCATGAGCTAACCATTTTTGTCTAAACTGTGAAGCAGCATTATATATGCATCATGTGCATGATTTTTCCATATATGGCATTAGTGGAAATATGCTTTTAGAGACTTTTTGGTTGATAAATATGTTTTGCTGTGTGAAAATCACACGCACCTGGTGTGTGTGTGTGTGTGTTTAGGTTAGTAAATCACCCCCATGATGTCACATTATATTTTTCCTTACATGTCCTCATCTCAGCTTTATACCTGGGATTTTTGGTCTTCCAATTTGTGTTACACAAGAAAAAATCCATCCGTTCTTGTTTTTTTTTGTGTACATTGTGTTTTAGGTCTCCGAGCTGAATTCTGAGATATCTCATAGCAGTGAACAGATTGAATCAGTCAAGAGTGACGTTATGGATCTGAGACGTACTATGCAGAATATGGAGATAGAACTGCAGACACAGCTTGCAATGGTAGAGTATTAACCCCTATGTTGTATACGTTTAGCACCCTTTGCTTGTCCTGTTACTGACACAAACACCCGTGATGGGAGAGTGATTGCAAACTTTGCCAGATGAGGTGTGGCTGCGGTGGCTTGGTTGAATTGCTGCCCTGCTCCTGGTGTGTGGAGGCTGAGCCTGTACCAAGCAATTGCGTTTAGCCAGTCTTGTGATCCAGGGCCCCTTGCCAGCCAGCTTAGCTAGATCAATGGCCTCGTATAGTATAACACTGGGTTGATATCAAGAAGGTTTTAGATATTGATGATAGCTTCACATAAACTTTTACTGCTCCGATAAATGAATCCATTACTGGCTTAAATTGTGTTTCTATAGGACTTGGATGTGGATAAAATAGATTTTTATACTTACTTTTAAGCATCCTATTTAGACTAAAGATTATAGCCTTGGTGTGTTGGTGATGGGCTGTGAGGTTATTTCTCATAAATGTTCCCTCAAATAGAAAAACTCCTTAGAGAACTCATTGGAAGAGACGGAGGATCGATACTGTGATCAGCTGGCCCAAATTCAAGACAAGATAACAGGCCTAGAGGATCAGCTGGGTCACCTCCGAAATGACTTGGAAACCCAGTCACGAGAGTACAAGCTTCTGCTGGACATCAGGAACAAGCTGGAGAATGAGATAGACATGTACCGTACACTTCTAGAAGAAGAAGGGTAAGTGTATCATGAGCATAGCATATGTACTGGTTCTAATTCTATCTTCAATGGAACTACTGTAAGTAGAGTCAGCCGTCACTCACAAAGATTGCTTTTAACATCAGTAAAACAAACTTCCACCCAACACCAACATTTCAATCTTCAGTAGAAAAGTAAAGTTCACTTGGGCATTCCAAGAGGTCAGAAGTTTGTTTTTACTTATAGCGAAAAATAATTGAAGTTTAAATTTAAATAACTATAAAGGTCAAGCCAGATTCTTAAGTGTTTTCTAAAATTAAAGTGTAACTCTAATTTTTAGTTTAGTAATTAGTAGGGATGAATAGCAACCCCTATTGGGTTTTTAATAAATAGAGATTTCCTCTCATGTTCTGATGACAATGTTGTGACCAGAACAGGTAAGGAGTACAAATCTCCAATGGGCATGCGGACAGCAACACAAAATTGGGGGCTCTAGACTTCTCCTAATCTGCTAATAAGAGCTATTTATTGTCTGTGTCACCCATGGATAGGAGATACCCTCGCTTCCTGTTCTTTGACAATATACAGTGTTGAACTAAAAAGTGAGCTGCATTGGAGAATTTTTCCAAATCAGCTATGTTGTCCTAGATTGTTCTCTTCTACTGCCTTCTCCAAACTCTTCACCCTTTTGTGAATAACCCTGATAATCATTAGCAGAAGAAGTGAAGGGAAGTCTGCCTAATGAGGCCAAAGAGAGCAGTAAATACCAACAAAGCAGTTAATACTAACTAGCCCTTCCGCTCTTTAACCAAAATATAAAACCCCTACAGTTAGGATACATTTTCACTGTAAAACATGAATCATTTGCCTTGTAGCCAAAGTAAAAGATTCAGTGCAAAGACATATGGTGACAATAATGACCTTCTTTGTCACTAAAAAGAACATAACTGGTACTTGCAGGTATAAGGAAGCATGTGACTCTCTCTATGCCTCCCTACAGTCCACTGCTTGGTATCTAGGTGACCAATCCCCAGGCCCCATGACTGTCATATGTGGGAGGGAGGGGGGTTTGATTGAACCCTTTGCAAGTTTTTACTTTCAGAAAGCCAAAGCAGGAATATCTAGAGGGGGCTCCGACAACATGGGAGAGTGAGGGCAGTAACCTTATGGTGCCTCCTATGTAGCAAAATGTTTTCAAGATTATTCCAGTAGGACCAGAGGAGTAAATATTGGTGTCCATTGCAGTGCAGGTGAATGAAAATAAAATATTGCAATACAACAAGGCTTCATCTTGTTTCTGTGAATGCTCTATAAGAATTAACTGAAAATTTACCATGTTCAGTTGTGATTGTTTTATCGTGTGCATTCTTTGAACACAGCTTTTAGCAGAATGCACTGACTGACTATTTACTGAGGGACATTTACTAGTACTTCAAAATGGCTGCCTGCACACAGAAACATTCTGTTTCTTCATGTTGTCAGGAGCACTGTTGGTGTTAAATACATGCAAGCACATTTTTCCATTCTGCAAAGAAAAATACAACCCATGTGTCATGATTGCCTGGACTCCTAATCTGCATATCAGATGTACAGGCAAATATTTAGGAAAATCAAGAAGTGATTATTGGGGAATCCATCATCCCAGCACAGTAGTACCGTCACTACTACTTTTGCTCTAAGTAGAGATAAATATGGGTCTTGCATCACTCTTTTCTTCCTCCAGTGAAGGAACAGGCAGACAGAGAGGAAGAAGAAGACCTCTAGCTAGTGGAAGACTCCCTCCTATAAGACTGCTGTTAAGGTGATATCCCATGGCAGGCAATACAGGCTCACCCAAGGCATGGAGTCTAAGCACCAGCCAGTTTTCACCAGAGCTCCTGATGGTGGAGATAGGTTTATTTGCTTTTTGGTACCAGGTTACCCTGCCAAGGGACGGACAAGGACTGGAGGGCTCAAGTGAGGAGACAGCAGTCTGGAGCGTGTCATAGGGTCCGACAGGAGATAAAGAATGGTCGGATGGTCCGGATCAGCAGCCAGTAGACAGGAGAAAAAAAAAGGAGACGAGAACGTAGTCGGATCTAGGCACGGGTCGAGGCCGGCGGCTAGCAGAGAGTGGTCAGGTGGATGAAGTTGGCAACGAGCTGTCAGTAGATAAGGCAGGAGACCAGGGCTGAGTTGGGTCCAGGCAGAAGATCAGGGCAGGCAGCAAGCAGAGAATGGTCAGATGGACCAGGTCAGCAAACAGGAAACAATAGTAGTATTAAAGCTCTTTGTACACGCAGGAAGCTAGCTTGAGAACACAACACCAGCCTCTTGCGAAGCTGGTCCTCAAATACCCCTTTGAATCAGAGGTGATACGCCCAGCATCACTTCAGGGCACTCTGGATGTCCTCATTCAGATTCTGTGGCTATCATTATCCATACTGGCCTGGATTCTGTGAGAGCCATTAGAAGTAATTGCAGGTCTCCAATGAGTACCATTAGAGGAACTGGCAGGTCTTCTGGAAGTCCAGGGTGGGATTCTCAGAGAAGGTCTGTAACACCCAGCAGGGACTCTGAGAGTTCCATAAGAACAGCTATTGATAGTGCAGGATTGGCTAGAGACAATTTAATATACCGATAACATTAGATGGCTCTATGCATGGTATATAGTTTTATGGTTAAATATTTTAATTGATTTTAAACAATGTTTACATCAATGTTAATCTAATGTACTTTTTGTGTAGAGGTTCACAGCAGAGTGATTCGTCATCAAGGCTTGGAGGAAGGTCAGATGCATCTTCAGCATCAGGTAACTGTACAGAATAATGTAACAAAAATGTTTTATACGCTACATTAATATATCACTAGAAATCATAATACTATGACACTATCTAGGCCCTGCACCCCCCTCTATTTGATGGCACTACGCATCCAGTGCACTAATATTGCATTGATCTACATAGTAGCAGTTCTGCTGGCTACTGCCTCCAGAGCAAACCAACACTAATCACTTTAACATGGGCCATGGCAGCTGGTCACAGAAACATGGCAGACCAAAAGTCAATGTGTTTTGCTCGCTAATGTTTCATATCATCTGGGTCAATAAATGTTTCCTTTGAAAGCACTGAGAAATACTTGGCACACTGCAGAAATATTTACTAAGATCCATCTTTTGTGACTTATGTGTATAAGCAGCTAAAGGGTCAGTCCAACCAAATTTCAGGTTTAAATGGTTGTTGGCCAGTTAATCACTCTATTTTAATATATTTCTTGTGGACTCTGGTGGAAAGAGTTACCCCATGAACCCCCCTCTACCCAAGTGATGTGACGGTAATAGTGGGTCTCAGTTATTTTGTTAAATTTTGTATGACAAGGTTTGCAACTTGATGAATGAGATTTATATTGCTGCAATTAGAAGAGTGAGACTTCAAAAACACTTATGGTTATGGCCACGCTAGCATCCCCATCAAGTAGATTCCAGTATTGGAGCGCTTGAAAAATATAAGAAGCCAGTGGGACATTCAACCCATCAGCATCTATCCATAAGTAAAATATCAATCCCAACACTTTGAGCCTAGGCAAAAAAGCAGCCACAGGTTACCTGACATCCTGAGTCCAGCACTGTCCGCCTCTATGTTTCTCTTGTGACGGATTTCTTTTGACACCAAACTCCACTTTAATACTTGTCCCAAACTCTAACCTAAAAAGTGGGCACTTAACTCTTTACCTCCGCTCAACACTGAACCCATAACGGGTTCCCTAAACACTTAATTACACCCCAACACTAATTTAACCCAAGCCCTACACTAAGCCCTAACACTTAGTGACTAATTGATTTATTTGGTGTACAAGGACAAATGTTTTCATGCAGCAATTACAATAAAATTACTTAAAAATATGATCAACACCTCCATACTTATAGTACGGAAGTGCTGATTATAATAACACTACCTGAACTCTATTCTGCTGCATATTCATCTTGTCTTGTATGGAAGGGCTCTGCACTAATAACATGCAATCATGTGCAAAAAGCTTGTGTTTGCCAATCCTGGTGCCAAAATAATTTGATCCATAATATTAGTATTGGGTGTATTGACCTTTATGCCAAAGGAAATCTTCAGCACTTTAGAGTATTCAGGCCAGTGAACGCTGGTTTTTGATTGGTTTCTCAGAGTTTCTATGTGCCCCTATTATCTGTACTTCAGAGCAAATAGTAATAAGTAATTAAAGTTACCATTTCATCTTACCTATTCTCAGATCAAACAAGAAGGCGGCTTGTGACCACAATTACGGAAGAGAGATTGAATGGCAGAATTGTCTCAACCAAAGTGGACAAGATTCCACAGAATATATAAAACAGAAAGATTCGGTTGCCATCTTAATTATGGAACAAAGTTGCTTAAAACATCACAGACAACTGCTAGCAATTAGAAAACTTTAAAGGGGTCACAGTGATCCACACACTGGTGGGAATAATCTGTGCTAGTCTCCACTTAGATAGCTTTGTAATGGTATGTTAGGGATGGCGTAGGAGGAATGAGCTACTAATACCTGGCTGTAAAAGAAGCCCAGCAAACAAAATCAGAAAGAAATCATTTGCTTGTCCATCCCAATCAATCAGATCTGTGTTTTAATCTTCCAATGTTGATTAAAATGAAAAAGAGATTCTGATTGGGCAACTACAATTTAAATTTGGTAACATGCGTACAGCTGCTTTATTCCTCTATCCATTATCCCTAACAGTCATTATTGTATGTGTTCTTATCAAAAATTCTAATCTCTCTTCCCATTGCATTTATGGAGGGGTGCTTGCCTATCTGTCACCATTGGCTCAGCGAAAATGTATATGTCCAATGAAATACTGTATTTTCTTTTACTCATTCAATAAATGCTGTTCTGTGCAATGATATAAAATCAGACTTTCGTGTGTGTTTTGCGTACGTATGTAGAAGGGGTACGTGTGTGTATAAATGGGGCATCTATGCTTGTGTATAGATGGAGTACCTATATGTGTGTGTGTGTGTGTGTGTAGACAAGGCAGCTGTGTTTGTGTGTGTCTCT